AACACTGAACAAATTCTAGCTGTGGGAATCACTAGTCCACACAATACCATATTGTCACGACACAATGTTATTGGAATTTTAAATATATTGCAATATATTACCAGTTTCCAGCTTTAAATTATGCCCCCAATGGGGAACATTAACATGGCAACATCTGTTTTAACCAAGCGGCAACCTACCGCTCTCCCTCAGGAAGCCAATACGGAAGTAACTAAAACTGCAATTCATCCGAAATTCCGCTAGTCCTGGCCGCTCCTGGCTCCAAAACAGAGCAAATTTCAATTGAGCCCACTGTTAGAATGGCCAACTTTAGAAGCAGAAAAAAAGGTGTTTACAGCCTGGTACAAAAAAAGATTTTGGTTAATACAGCTAATATTACCCTTCATGACAACTGTGAGGGGGTGAATTTTTTTATAACTCATCCGTTTCCTTTATATTAAGTCATATTAAGTTTGCATAATTAAGGGAGTGGCCACTTGAGTGACAGCTAGGTCTCGTTGGTCGCCGTCACATCACCTCAGCTGAATCCTGCAGATTAGCCACTGAACTCGGCAGATTTATGGTATTTCTGTGTTGTTTTATGTAGCTTTACACATTCAACTGCCTTTTGGACTTGTTTCCTACAATTATTAGATGGCATGGCATGCTGAGTGCACTTAATTGTGCTCACAAACCATTCACGTGGCCTCCGTTTCCCATGTGAGTGAAGTTATATACTTATATACCATCTTTATACATGTATTTGTTTTATTTAAGATCATTTATCGTTTATATTTATATTTAGAGCTGTAATGCACTCCAGAACCTGTCAGATTGATTAGCTGTAGGCTCTAGAACATCTGAAGCGTTGTCATACAGTGTTATGCTGGATTTCATCAATAGTCTTACATTAACTAACAGACTATATCTGAAGTGTTTGGAAGTAATTAGTGTTTTCCTCCTGTTGAAAAACGTCATAAGAACAATGTTTAGTGGCTCGATGTATTACAGCAGTGTTTTTAAAAGACTAAACACTTTATTGATATAGTATACAGCCAAGCACAAGTGGTCAGAATACAAACGAGTCACAGGTGATAACGTATTAAGCGTGTGTGTCTGAACCAGGTCCAAGCTAAATTCCAGCATGCGCCTGTAGCTCCGCTCACTCTCTGCCTCTTTGCCCTTGTTTGGTATCCCACCGTGGGTGTGATGACGCGCGAACAAAATGGCGACGGTTGTCCGCGCCTACTTGTGGCTTCTTTTGCGCTCTTTAGAAACCTATGGGTGACGTCACGGATACTACGTCCATATATTTTACAGTCTATGGTTTTAACTAAACAGGACCGGTGTCCAGACATTTTATACTACCCATCAGATTATCCTACCAACACAGTATTTGACTGGTTCTGAGGTTGGGGTTAGGGACTTGTTGGTTAGGGCAATATTACAGCTTCATATGACACTACTCCACATTGAAATGTACACATTGCATCATCATAGACATGCTAGTTTGAGTCCCAGCAGGGAGAGTTGGCATTTCTGTGTGGTGTTTGAATGTTCTCCCCGTGTTCGTGTGGGTTACCTTTGGGTGCGCTAGTTTCCCCACACAGTCCAAAGACATGCGCTATAAATGAATTGGAAGAACTAAATTGGCCAAAGTGTATGAGTGTGTGTGAATGAGAAAGTGTATGGGTGTTAACCAGTGTTGGGTTGCAGCTGGAAGGGCATCCGCTGCACAAACCATATGCCTGAGTAATTGGAGGTTCATTCCTCTGTGGCGGCCTCTGATTATCAGGAACTAAGCTGTAGGATAGTGGGAATGATGTTTCTTGACTCTTAATAGAGTTATGTACATGAAAAGTTTCGAACGATAGTAGTAATTCAATGTCTGTTTCCCAAAATGTCACACAACCTGATCTTGAGAGAGCTAATTTCATGTGCTACTTAGGAGTCGCTGTCCATTTCCAAAGTGCTGAAACCTTACATGGAGAGGTATCCTGAATGTTTAACCCAATAATTCGCATCTCATGTGGATTAGCAGTCAGGAACAGTCTATTTAAAGCAGCTACCTTGAGACTGAGGCACAAAACGGTTCGAAAAAACAACAACGTGAGGATAAAAAACAGAAGAATACGCAGAAATACCCAATACATGGATGAGTTTTGTTCGCATCCATGCACGTCTTGACAGGTTCCTTTTTTTTTATTATTTTATCCCTATTTCCCTATGTTTTTTTTTTTTTCAATTCTTTAAATCATATTTAATTATTTTATTCATTTATTTTGTCTAGTCATTTAATTTAGATGTGTATCTCGGTTTTCACTTGTTAAAAATGGAGTAATAGGATGTACTATGAAGTAAAAAAATATGCTATTACAATCACACCCCATAAAGAAATTTGATTTCACATATATAAAATATAAGTCATTTATGGAGCGTAATATTCGAAATATTGCTAAATGGTCATATACACTGTAAAAAATTCTAGGTTACAGACAATTCCTTCATGTTCATCCAACACAAATTAAGTTGACTTAATCGTTTTTTTTTACAGATTTACGTCAATTAAACAAAAAATCTTAAGAATTGCGTAAACTCACTTTAAATAAGTAGCTTGAACAGGCAGCAAAAGTCATTTCTTGAATGTACATAATTGTCTCAACCATTAGAATTACACATTTGAAAATAAATCTTCCCTACATGTTCAAATATATTAGCTACAATTTCACATTTATGTGATTTATATATGGCTGTAAACATCTGATGTCTGTAGGAAACTGCACTTGAATAAAGCTACAGGTGGGTGTAATCTGCCGATTGTCTTTTACAAGCTATTATGATTGTTTGTTCCAGAGTTCTCGTAGACCTACGACCATCCTACGACAATTTTAAAATGATGCTTAAAGTCACAATGCTTTTGGGAAGCGCAACTCAGTAACATGTTTATCTCATTTTAAATAAATTGCTGCACTGCAAATGAATTGCATTGTCAAGCAGAACTTGACCAAAACTTGAATGAAAACCACATGCACGTTTTTGCAATGCCACCATCTTTGTTTTACCAACTCACAGCATGATGAAGATGATCCAAACTACCAGAAATAAACCCAACACAACAATCTACTGCACGGACAATAAAGAAATCTGTTTTAATATTCAACCAAATTGTATAATAAAATATTGCCAATATGAGCATCTGATCTATCTGATATAAAATCACTATACTACGGTCTATCAATTTGTTTCCCCACCAATAACAAATACATCTAAACTAATCAATTCTTAACGTCGCAATATGCAGTCATAAAAAGATCAGAAAACTCAAAAATACCAATTTCTTCCTCACAAAAACATTCAAAGCAGGTTTCAGAAACGTGTCCTCAGAGCAGTGTGTGTAAGATACTGACTCCTTTGGACATTTTGCAATCCCTTATGAAATTTCACCCAACAGGATTCAACGTTAAGGATTTTTTCTACTAGTTCGATTGGGCCAATGGTTTAGATTTTCACTTGCCCTGCCAAAATGTTTACTGGCCCCACCAAAGAAAAAAATTAATTTTTAAGCAATTTTTTTGGCCACATATTTTAAATAATATGTCAAAAATAATAATATAAATAATAATAATAAATAATAATAATCTGTAATTGTTAATAACTATTTAACTAATGTATTTAAATAACATTTTAAAAATGTTAATAAATGTATGAGCAAAAATTCTGTGTTAACAAAACAAAAAGAGTAGTATAAATGTAAAGGTATTTTATTGCAGTTCGAAATTATTTTAAAAAAGGTGTCTGCAATCGGGCCAGTAATGATCCCATCTACTGTCCCAAGCGTCTCTCACACTGGCCCCGGGCCATTGGGCAGTCCTTATTGTTGAACCCTGCCTGAGAAAACATGCATTTAGAATGAGCACATTTAGCTCTGTGTACATGTTGCTTGAATGCTTGGTATGTTTTGCAGCAAAACATACATTACATAAGCATGATTATGAACGTTAAGTGAACTAGGTATATTGGTCTGGACCAAATACAACCGAATTACAAGCTTAAACACACCCTAAAATGATTCTAAAATAACCTCCAGCCATTTTTCCCTTGAAAGTACAGTTCACCTCAAAAATAAAAACTGTTATCGTCATTAACTTACCCTCCATTTGTTCTATATCTTTTTGGAGTTCAACAGAAAATATTAACCGATTAGAAACACTTGAGGATGAGTTAATTGAGAGCAGATTTCCATTTCTGGGTTAACCATCCATTCTTTAAGCCTACATTTGATTCGGACTAGGATTTTTGTACGTTTATGTGGTCATAACACTCTAAAGAGACTTCAATTGAATCAATCCACATGCACATGACTGAGATGGTCACCTTTTATCCGTAAACTTCTATCTACATTAACTCATATTATATGCATTAATTTGAAGGCCACGTGCATAATGCTAGGATTCATGCATCAAACCAGGTTATAAAAAAAATCCATTATACCAGGGCTTTTTTTTTTTTCGCCCTGAGCACCCTTCAATTTCCTAACATGTCAAACTGATTTCTTCCAGTGTGGTGGAATATTTGCCGTCTGTTCAACAACTAAATGACAAAATCATTAATCTAGAAAAAATGCTTCATAGACAACAACTGACCTACATGCTAGAGTTAATTGTCTGGAATCTTGACAATATGAAGCCAGCCCAAGATTTAACTGTAAGATGGATACTAAATATCAATAATGTAAGGTAGTACAAGATTTACATGGTTACAGTAATTACATTATTCTCATTATAAACACACACACACACCTATATATATATATATATATATATATATATATATATATATATATATATATATATATACACACACACACACACACACAAACAAACACACACACACACACGATATAAGACATTATTAGCCACCATTACTTTCGTGTATGCGTGATGTTGTTAAATATATGTATATTTGCCTATTTATGACACACGCACGCACACACATTTAAATCTGAAGCGTTGTGAACTTACAGCATCATTCCGTATCTCCGCAATACAATATATTCATCCCTTAAAAGACGACGATCCGTCCAGAAACACCGCGGAAAGTGCTAATATCCGTGTGTGACAAACCCTTCATATGATCGCAGACAATCCCTCACAGGCGCAAACATACAAACTCTCTTCATGCGAGCACGGACATCATTATCATCTTCATCAGCGTCATCTGTCGGGCTGATCGATGAGCTCGAGGAGTCGTTCAGATATTCTGATATCCTCCGTCTGTCCTATTAAAATCACGGCAGTGTTTCAGCTCTGCTCCCGTCTGCAGTCTGGACTCACCCAGCAGCCGAATGAGAGCACCTCACACACGCGCACGGGCACGCGCGCACACACCGAAACGCGCGCGCGTCTCCAGTCGCGCTTATTCAGTCTCCAAAATGTCTGAACAAATAAACTGCACCGATCTGTTCGTGAGAGAGAGGTTCTTACGTAAATACTGAGGGAAACATGTCTTTGCTCACGACATTTAACCACGAGGTGCGTATTTCCCGCCCAAACATCAGTAAGTAGCCTACAGTAACTGTCATACTATGAAGAATCGATCTTTAATGCATCAGCAACGTTTGTTACGTAACACTTCAGTTGTCAGAATATCTATCTATCTATCTATCTATCTATCTATCTATCTATCTATCTATCTATCTATCTATCTATCTATCTATCTATCTATCTATCTATCTATCTATCTATCTATCTATCTATCTATTAGCCTACTGTCTGTCTGTCTGACTGTCTGTCTGTCTGTCTGTCTGTCTGTCTGTCTGTCTATCTGTCTGTCTGTCCATCTGTCCGTCCATCTGTCCGTCCATCTGTCTGTCCGTCTGTCTATCTATCTATCTATCTATCTATCTATCTATCTATCTATCTATCTATCTATCTATCTATCTATCTATCTATCTATCTGTCTGTCTGTCTGTCTGTCTGTCTGTCTGTCTGTCTGTCTGTCTGTCTGTCTGTCTGACTGTCTGTCTGTCTATCTATCTGCCTGCCTGCCTACCTACCTACCTACAATTTTGAGTTTACAGTTGTTTTAAGCAACATCAATAACAAATCAATATACACAAAAATGAGTGTGTATGGATTTTTCCCAGAGATGGGTTGCAGCTGGAAGGGCATCCGCTGCGTAAAAACATGTGCTGGATAATTTGGCGGTTCATTCCTCTGTGGCGACCCCAGATTAGTAAAGGGACTTAGCCCAAAAGAAATTAATAAACACACAAAAATGTACACATCCTTACAGGCAACATGGCAAGTATTTGAAGTTTCATAGTCCAAACATGTATATCTAAATACATATTTCAAATGTATTCATTCAGTTGTTGATGTTGTTTTTATCCAAACCAACTTATGAATAGCATAGTTATTGGCAGAATGCTGAATAAATATGGTAATCAAACAGTACAGTTTTTTAAAAGTCACATCACCTTCAATTCCTCCATATTTATGACCGACCAGCAACAGTGGGGATTTTTAAAACACCTGAGAAAAATATCGATCAGCGGTTTTGATCCGTCCAAGTCTCAGGAATAATTTAAAGGCCTGCAAATCTGCAGTCAGCACAAACATTGCCAAATTTTGACACATATGCCCAACGTTTACATACTTTCCATCGCCATACATTGCGAGTGAGGTCTTTAAGGAGACAATTCATTCAGAAGGGCATTGTGTGTTGTGAGTATGAGGTCGAAATAATGATGTCAACTTATATAATCTTCATAAACCTCCATATTTATGACTAAAATGCAACAGTGGGGATTTTTAAAAACACCTAAGAGAATTATCGATCAGTGGTCTTCATCCGTCCAAGTCTCAGGAATAATTTAAAGGCCTACAAATCTGTAGTCAGCACAAACATCGGCATATCTGACACATGCCAATGTATACATGCTTTCTGTGCATATAATTCATGCAAAATTGATAATTCGCCTATAATCAATTTAGCCAATTATGTCCATTAACCTTAAAGGCGTAGTTCACAGAAAATACACTCAATATCTATTCTCTCTCAAGTGAAACCTTTGCGTTTCTTTGTTCTGTTGAACACAAAGGAAGATCATTTGAAGCCTGTAACCATTGACATCTCTTGTAGTAAAACCAATATTGAAGTCAATGGTTACAGGTTTCCAACATTCTTTAAACTATCTTCTTTTGGTGTTCAACAAAAGAAAGACACTCATAGACATCTGAAACAAGAAAAGGGTGTGTAAATGATGACAGAATTGTCATTTTTTGAGTGAACTATCCCTTTAAATAATAATTTGTTCATATTTGAGTTAAACTAATGATGTTTCAGGAAAAACCTGAGGTAAAATTTTCTGACTTATTGATAATTTCATACAATAAACGTGAAAATACTATAGTATTACCTTACAAAAGCTTCATGGAACCACCTACTGCACTTTTTATGCCAAAGAAACCGTCCTGAATGGTCTTTTCAGGCTGATGTTTGACTGCAGTACCGCACATGAGATGTTGGGGGCGCTGTTGCTCTCACGCAGATTTTCTGCTGCCTGAAAAACATGCAGTTTCTGGGCACCTTAAGCATCTGCCTGAAGAAGCTGTTTGAACACAATGGCTGTGAGCAGCATAAACAAACGGCCTCCTGTGACATAACAGCTGTCTGTTTAAATTCATAGGGGTCAGTGCACATCACACGCACCCATAACTGCATTCAGTAAATGGGCGGCCCAGGATTTTCAGCTCCGCTCTGCGTGATAAATCAGATTAAAGCTGCGTTCAGGAGATTTTCCAGACAGACGTATGCCTGGATCGATGGTCTTATTCCGACCGGGCTGCATTAACAGATGAGTTATGACTGATTTCTGCAGACGCCACGACTATGCAAAGACTAAACCTGCAGGACGGTAGTCACTTAACGCCTGGCGCTGTGTGTGTTTGTGTGTGTGTCACAGCTAACAAGAGTCTCGAGTTATTAAAATGAACTTCTCGATGTGCAATGTAACATCTGGGAGGATGAATTAAGGGTGTGCAATTCAATACACCTCAGGGAATTGAACATTTTAGATGGTTTTGATTTGATTATTATTTCAAAATAAGTCATATAATAAAAAAGCGGCATCACGGTGGCGCAGTGGGTAGCATGTTCGCCTCACAGCAAGGAGGTCGCTGGTTCGAGACCCGGCTGGATCAGTCGGCATTTCTGTGAGGAGTTTGCATGTTCTCCCTGTGTTGGCGTGGGTTTCCTTCGGGTGCTCAGGTTTCCCCCACAGTCCAAACACATGCGCTATGGGTGAATTGAATAACCTAAATTGGCCATAGTGTATGAGTGAAAAAGTGTGTAAGGGTGTTTCCCATTGTTGTGTTGTGGCTGAAAGGGCATCCGCTGCATAAAACATATGCTGGATAAGGTGGTGGTTCATTCCGCTGTGGCGACCCCTGATTAATAAAGGGACTAAACCGAAAAGAAAATGAATGAATGAATAAAAAAATAATAATAATTCTGAAAATTAAAGTGTCTATTAAGTAACAGGTAACAAGGTCTGTGTCATTCATAAATCATAAATATATGTAATTTTCAACTGTATTATGTTGCGATTCCTACTTGTTTGTTCAAAACATTAATTTAAGCGACTTAAATGTTTAAAACAAAGATGGTTCATACTGTAAACTCACACCAACATGGGGAGAACATGCAAACTCCACACAGAAATGCCAGCTGACCCTGCCGGTACTTAAACCAGGGCCCTTCTTGCTGTGAGGCAACAGTGCTAACCACTGCGACACCTGTTCTTATTATCAATTCATACATTAACAACGTCAAATTT